TTCCTCACCATGCGCTGGACTTCAAATTATTTAGAAATATCCTTACAGCCATTAGTGATGGACAGCAACACTGCTGAAGGTCAGTTAATAAGTGTATTTGATTAGCAGCATCTGGCATCTCAATAATTTTAGAATCTGGTGGGAAACAGATGATTTTGTTATTGTGTCCTGCGATGTAAAGGTTTATAATGTAACAAAGATGTACTTTCTTTCCCCTCTTCCCATTGCTTTGGATGTTCAGACACCAAAATTCCCCATGGCAGCAGAAATCCCTGTCCTTTTGATTTGGCAACACTCCAAAAGTTATTGATGATTGTATCAGGTTAACCTGAAAGGTTAAAGTGAATTTCAAAGTTAAATATTATTCTCTTGTTTTTGCATTTAGGTAAAGAGGCTAAAGGTGACAAATACGAGCTCTGAGAACAATCACGAGTTATACAGCAACCAAGTTTAATTTTCCAGAAAGCAGTTAAGGATTCCCAGTAAAGTGGGGGGAAAAGGACAATACAAGCACGATGACACATCTTCCCTACGACCATTGACAATGTTTCTATGCCTTTGAGAAATGGTGCACACGTGTGACTCTGACTCTAAACAGCACTTTCCAGGACTTGTGCATGGGCAGCATGCTTGAAGGCGTCTCTGCTTGGGACTCCACTGTCCTGCTCGAGGACTTCAGCACTCATGTGAGCAATGACAGTGTGACCTGTGGACTGTGACTGGCAAAGAAGGCTTGATCTGAAGCCAAGTGGTCTTGGTTTGTTGGACTTTTGTGCTAAACAACAGTTTGTTCATAAAGAAAAACACTGTATTTGAGCATAAGTGTGTTTAGATTGGTGGTCTGTGAGAGACCTACAGAGAGATCGTGTCCCACAGCTGGTTTGGGAATGCCAAAGGTGGGAGGTGGCTGGGGAGAGTGAAGTCCCAACTTCTTTGTTTAGACTTCTGCCCTATAAACACCAGAAGATGGATGGATGGACCTTTTCAGCGCAAGAACATTTAATTACCTAGAATACCTTATTGCAGCTTTGCATTACAATTTCTATTGAACTACCTGAAAGAATAGCCCACCTACCTTATTCAAATAACAATGTGGCAACTGATACGCAAATAATTTTAAATAAACTAAATATTTCATTGAAGCATATTAAAAAAACTCAAATGCACTAATCTAATAGGCTGTGTTTTCTGCAGCTCTGTGCAGCTTCTTGGACCCTTTGAATTCATTCTTTTGATTTTATGACTCATTCTATTCTGTCTAATGAAACCTGAACCAGCAGCTGAAAGTAAAATGTTTCTTTATCAAACAAGGGCAAGTAAATCCACTGATTCCACTGAAGCTAAAAAGGTCAGCAAAACTGGAGTTGGTGGAGATGAAAGCAGAGCTACAAGCACCGTGGACTTTGGGACAGGCAGAAACACAAAGCTGCAAACACATTAGACATCAGAGGTAATCGGATTCACCAGTGACCACGAACCCTTCCAGTGTGTTTGGCCCTGAGTTTAATTTAGTAAATAGTCTCAACCAAGCTTTACTTCAGACTCATGGTCCAAAAAAACAAACGGTCTCATAAAACAATACAAAAGCCACGTTAAGAGGCAGCAGGACCAGTGTCCCCACAGTGGAGACAGATATAAGACTTCATACTTGTTGAGCCCACATTCATCTCATTCTCACAAGTATTGATGGATGGATGGAGACTTCTTAATAAGGCACTAAATGTACTGACTCCAGCAGCAACAAACATTTAACCTGCTCTGAGCCACACAGGTCACTTCAATAATAACCTCGTGGCGTTAGAAGCTACTTTCCATAAACTTTCCTAAGTTTCTCCATAAGTGTGTCATAAACAGAGGTGTCCACTCTGCTCTGAATAGTGACGTCTTCACTGTGTACATGCAAAATTTGAATTAAATTTGCACAAGTGGATGTTTGCTTGGTCGTCCATCATAAATCATTTCCTATAAATAATTAGCTTCCACAACAGTGGTTGCTAGTCTTCCTGGGGCCCAAACCATCAAATACCACCAAATAAAATGTTACACAATGAGTTGGATGCAAAATGTCCACATAATTTGGCTCTTACATCCACAATAAGGTTTTACAATTCTGAAAATGTAAACATGTAAATATTAAAAATT